ACATTGGTGAATGCCACAAATTCTCCTAAATCACTCGTACGCACAACTTAAGAACAAATCTGTGCGTACGAACGGTTCTTGCATGAGGCCCATTCTGCTTAAAAAAATGTCTGTCACAATGAATGACTTTATTGTTTTTAAAAGCAACTCGGAGGTATCTCCACCTGCTTGACTAAAGATGGCAGTGGGATTCAGTTTTGCACACAACAGTAAAAATGTCACAACGACTGAGGTTTGTAAATCCACAGATTTACAATGACGGCACAAAAAAAAGGAGTTTGCACAGTATTAGTCAGCAAACCACAGACTTTTATGCATTAAGTATTTGATGATGACTCGCTGCAGTGGGCTGGCTGAATAATCTAAAGATAAGCCTTCAACTCAGAGGTAGCATGATAAATACTTGTTTAATCGTGTAGTTTTGTTTGATTTTAGTAAAAGTATGGAGCTTTATTTCAGTTTTAAGCATAAAGGAAACAGTTTACAGAAACTAGATCAGACAGTATCTGACATTTCCAACTGAAACGTTCAATCAATCTATAGGGTGACAAAAGCCTGTCACAGATGAACAACACTGTCAGCATATCTTTGCAACAACAACAACACAAAAAATATAATACAAATGTTTATTTACCAGGGTGCTGCCCTTCCTCACATCTTCCAACCTCTCCAAAACTTGAGCCAGGCTCGGGTCGTCAGAGTCAACAAACCATATTGGTGGCGTCGATGGATAAGACTCCTAAAAATACAAATACATGAAGGTGATGAAACATAAAAGGTTATTTGCGTCGACACATATAATCGTGGCTGCAGTTTGTCGCAGCAGAGTGAACTCGAGACTAAAAGTAGGATTTGATTTGAAGACGTGAATGTAAAAAAAAGATTAGATAGCAGAAACTGCTTTCTTAATGTTTAAAGTCGACATAAAACACTAAAGAATAGCAATAGTGTTTATCTCGCTTTAACATCTACCTTGACGGTTTCGCTAACAAGGGAAGTGCCTAACTAGCATAACCCCCGAGTGCTTCTTGTTTACTTACTGTTATGTTGCAGTGAATGATAAGTAGCTTTTCTCCAGTCACATTAAACTGGCAGCTCAGCTCGTCGGGCTTCCAGTCAATTATCCTGAACCGTTCGTGGTTTGGATCAAAAATAGACTTCAAAAACTTCAGTTCGGCCTTCAGCCCCGACACCGACATCTTCCACGCATCTCCGGCTGGGCCGCTGGGGGAGAAGTCAGGACTTAGCTTTCAGCTAGCAAGTGCAACAGCATAAAAATTTTAAACAGAAAGCTGGTATTTAAAAAAAATAAGCCAAATGACGGCTGGCTCCGCCGGAGGAAGTAACAGCGTACACGGTGCCAGCAACCGTTTCCGTGTGGTTTGGATTTCAAACGCAGCCAGAGAGGTTTGCTAATGAATTAGCTAACGTTAGCTTAGCAAACTGCTAGCGTTGTTGTCTTTCCGTCTGTTGTTGTTCTCTGCCTTATGTTAGCAACATTTTTTTAAAAAGCTCCTGCGGCGTCCCGTGACGGTCTTCTCATAGTCTTATCGGACTGGTCTTTAATGTGCACTTGACCAGGAAAACGCTATCCTGACCATTTGACGTGACGTCCTGCTGCGAGATCAGTGTTTTTTCATCCCAGTACAACTGTAGCTGGCCTCCAGTGGGGTTTAAAGATGGCGTTTGACAATCTGCCCGTTCCCGCAGAATCCCAGAGTTCAGCGCCTCCTCATTTATTCATGTCCTAAGGTGAGGAAAGCAAAGTTTAGAGCGGTGTATCAATCCTACAGAAATCTATTATATATAACACAAAATATTAGTTTCTGTTCTAATTAGTGGAAATTTAAAATTAAGCACAACAGTGAGTATTTTATTTTTTTAAAAGTTGTTATATTGTCCTAATAAAAATAGAAAAAAATGTCATTATTTAAAGTATTTTTATAGGCTGYCTTTTTAAAAACCCAATAAATAGTTTAACAATACCCCATGTTATAAACGTTTATTATGGAGTTACTTTGACATATTAAGGTCACAATTGTGCAAAAGCATAGGCTACAACAGTGGTTCCCAAACTTTTTRTCTTCTGACCCACAAAATATCCATGGCAAAAACTTGTGACCCCAAATATTACTGGTCTGAGTACATGAGGTTCGTTGATAACCCTAAAAACACAGGCTTTTTGACAAGCTAAACAGCTTATACACAAATATAAATACTTATTTTTACTTATTTTGTGTTTTTGTAAAAAATGTAGGGAAAATATTACATCAGCAATTATTTTATTACCCTTTAAATTGATTTCTGGAGATTATCCAAGGTGCTTCATGACCCATAATTGGGTCCCAAGCCCAACTTTGGGAACCAAAGTGCAGTGGTTCCCAAACTTTTCAGCTTTGGACCCACAAAATAACAGCAGCAGAGACCTGTGCCCCCAGCTATTTTTGGATGATAAACATTTGCATCAGGTCAACAAAACACGGGCATAGTAACAATATTTTTATACTACATTTATCCATTTTAAATATACTAACCTCACTCCTTTGTTACAACTAAGGCAAAAATGTCATTAATTCAGAAAATCTTTTCAGGACCCCACCTTGATGTTTTGGGACCCCACTTTGGGTCCCGACCCCAACTTTGGGAAACACTGGTCTACAACACCAGCCCTGATGCAGTAATCCAGGTAGAAAAATCAAAAAGGAAAAAAAAAGGAGGTCCTCAGGACGGGTTCTTCTTTTAAGTAAACAAAGATACACAAGATTTTAAACACGAGGCCTGTATGCAAAGAATGTAAAATAAAATTATAAACAAATTTTGGAATATGTATGAAGGTATCAAATATTTCAATTCAGTTTATTTAGGGATATATCATTTTTTATTTATTTTTATTTATTCATTTATTTTCAATATTTGAGATCTGCTTGCACCAGTGGATATTCTAAAACATTTTAATATGTTAATGAAACTGACGTTTCAATTTATGCTCGTTTGCCCAGTTAGTCATCGAAATATAACAGATCGTAGTGCAATTTAAACATTAGGGACCTAAGATAATTATTTTATGTTCAGTCCAGCTACAAGTACTCACAAGAGTACACAAGACTGTGAACAAGTAGTTGTGTCCTGAAAGGCGCTTTGTCAATTAAATGTTTTTTTATTATTAGAAGTGTATTACTACGTGAAGACCGCTAGAGGGCAGTAGTAGCTCAATAGTGGAAAGAGCAGGTTTGCCATAGAAAATACATTTCTTGAAGGCTCCACATTTGTGAGCTCTTGGAATATGTCCATAGGCATAATTTTGATTTTGATAAATATTTATTATATAATCCTACAAATTGAATTGTTGTAACTAGATTATCTGTCTATGCAAAAGGAAGCTATTTTATCACAATTTAATTTTCAGTTAACATTTTAAGATTTTCAGGTCCGTGCTGCATGTCACACACTTGTAGCAACTCTGACAAGACTGAACACATTTATGTAAACAGATCTGTTGTCTAACATATGCTGCATGACGAAATAGCCTTGTTGAGAAATAACCTACTGATGTGGTAACGTAAAAGGCCAATATGAAAACAGTGTGGGGGTTGTTGATCTTTTCCAAGCTACTGAGTTAAATATGTGGACCTACAGCTGCCGACACAAACCTCATGTCCCTGCTTTCTAAAGCCAGCTGCTGTCCATATTTTCTGCATCTACAGTGTGGCTATTGACCAGAAAAAATACTGTGTAGAATATTGTTTGCGATGGTAATAAAGTCTCATAATCAAACTAATGTATTTGAGTGAGCAGAGAKTTCAGGAATTGTGTTAACGTAGTGGTTCCTCTGGAAAGGTCAAAGTTCCAGTCGAGCAAACATAATGATTCATTTTGGAGGTTTTGGGCCAGCAGCGGTGGAGTGGTGCTGTGTAATCAACGCAAAGAGGGGGAGGTAGAAAACTGATATTCCATACTATGTATAAAACAAACACAACACAATCCTTATGGACATGAGAGGTACTGTTTGTTCTTGTCACCCGTCATACAGAAACATAAAGGGGATCAGAATTCAGTGTGCCAAGTGGTTTGTGATAAAAAGTCTATTTTAAAGACTAACTTACCCCAAAATTAACTTTTTTTTAGCTGATAAACTGTCTAGAATGTGTCTAAAATATAGATATATATATAGTACTGTTTCTGTGCTAATTTTGATGTTTTTGTGCGTATTTGTTCAAATCTGTAACATTTGGTCTAAAAACGTGTTTTTTCTGCTCATATGGGTAGAGCAGTGGTACTGCAGGCTAATTTGCATATTGGTTAACGGCTCTCCACGGTGACGTGTCTTCTCCACGATTTCGTCACAGCAGCTGTGTTCTGGTATAAAAGCCTCTCTCTAAGACACGCCCCTGCAGCAGTCAGAGGGTGGAACAGTTAGCAAGCTTAGCATGATCGTCTGTTGACCTTCAGCCTCGGGTGGGGAGAGGAGCTGGCTGCTCTCTCTCCACCTCTGTCTCTGTCTCTCCACACACACACACACACACACACACACACACACACACACACACACACAC